TACTTTTTTGCTTTAATAATTAAGTTTCCTTATTAAAGCCCCAATGTGTAACCTTTTAGCCAAAATATAGACAGTTTTTTTTTTTTATTGTGAATATTTATATTGCACTAAAAACATAGAAAAACATAACTCGGGTTTACAACTCCATAAATCTGACTCGTATTTGCTCTAGAGTATCTGCGTGTCTCCATGAAAATGTTGTTCCTTTGGCTATAATATTCCCCAGTATGGCATAAAACTTGTCTATCTCCATGGAAAATGTTCTAAATTATGGCTTTAACTTTTTATTTCAGTGGAATCGTAATGTGCCACCTCCAGAAAGTTGCAGTGTTCCTTTAACATGACAAGAGTTGTGAATATCATTAATCAGTAGATTTTGAACCGTGAGTGATGAACATATTTCATAGTGAACTGTTAGCCCCACCCAATCAGTCCATTCTCTCACTCTGATATTGAACCATGAGAGAGAGCCAACTGTCAACAATAAAGGCAGTCGCATGTGGTCACACTACAATGCCTCTGATTGAAATAATTATCTGTCTATATAACAGACACAAGCACAAGTCTTCTTTAACATTAGAATGTAAATCACTTTTACGATATTAACTAATGCATGCATTGTAACAGTATTTTTCATTTGCCAATTTGCTTTGTACTTTAGTGACTTTGGGAACAACTTTTTTACACATGAAAACTGCATCATAAAACAGTTCATTCATACTCCATAGATGTTTTGTGACTGGTGGTTATGTAGAAAAATCTCCAAATACACCGCAGCAGTTTCTATGACACCTAGACCTATACTTCAAAAGTCCATTAGCAGTCACTGAATTGGTTTTCATGAATGATGTCCCAATTTCCCATGCAGGACTGGTTTATTGTAGTTTAATCACCTTCTGTTTCATATACTTCACAATTCATACAACTTGGCAAAACTGTATGATTTAGTGAAATTATTATTGTTGAAAGGATTTGGTTTGCATATATTACAGTCCATAATTTTAAACTGTGCAAGACAAAAAAGGCCCATGATGTGCGTTGTAGCTCACATCCTTCACTGTGCACCATGTGAGAATGCAAGATTGTAATTTATTAAAGATAAAATGAATATTTTCGTGGTAATTAATCATGTTTAATGCAGTGCTCAATGCCAAAGGCATTTATTTGAAAAGATTATCTGAATTTAAAAATATTTGAACTACAAAATAGTCAATGTTGTATCATGGTCAAAGAAGGGATTTTTCTGATGTTAAAATACTCTGCATGTTTCGTCCGTCTCCCTTTCCAGAGCTTCAAACGCCCACTTGCTTCACTTTACATTACCCTCAAAATTCTCCATGAAGCTGCTGGTCTTTTCTCTTTTTCTAGTCCAGAGATCATCATTAAACGTATTCAAATCAGTGCTCAAATTACCTACGTACACACAGGATGTGAAGCATTCAAAGAATTTGTTTTCAGCATGTGTTTGGTTTCACTGGTTAGCAGATACAGGTCTAGCATCAAGGCTATCCTTTCTAAGTCATGACTTCATTTCACTAATACTATTGGTCAAATTTTATTTTAAGGAGTAAAATAGAAAACATAAGTCTATGACATATTAAGTAATAAAACAAGCATCACAAATGCACAATATAGGATCTTATATGTTTCACAGCTCACAACAGCCTCTTATCCTCAAGACTAGGTCCCACACAAAAGCATACTTCAAACCCCACTTGTTCCCATAACGCCTCCTCTCTCCACTGCAACTGCAGCTGCAGCTGTTGTGTTGGAGCGGTTGTTGTTTTGTGATACTCACATAATGAGTAGAGCTCTAAAAGCTGCACTCGCAATATTTAATATATGACAAAAACCTGAGTGAGGCTGTAACATGTGGTCAAAATAGACTCCCAACAGAATGAATGCAGAGCAGTGCTCCTCTGAGGCCCGTCTGAGATTAGGTTAGCCTTTATTGTCTTCTAATAGAGAAACTCATGTTGGACAGGCAACGGGCAAAAAGACAGACCAAAATAAACAATAGACAATGACATGTAGCCCAATCACTACACTCTGAGCTTTAATTATTTGGAATTTTTGTGGCCTCTGCACCACAGTTGCTCTGTGTGCAGTCAAGTCAGACTCAGTCTAAATAGTGTGATACGAAGTGATGGCAAAGGGTGACATATAAGACATATTAAGCATTATTTGTGTTATTAGACTTTTGAATTAGCTTTGACATCATTTAGGTTCTAAAACATTTGACCAAAATGTTTATAAAACACACATTACTTTCTTTCTGTCTACAACAAGACGACCTCAAAAACAGGATTCATGAATCAAGGGCGACTAAAACTAAATACAACTTCGGATATCTTTTTGATGAGGGTAAAATGTTAGAAATGTAAATTTAAAAATTAATTTAAAATATACAAAATATACATAATATGCATAAAAATATATGTGTCCTTTAAGACGTTTGAGCTTCCGTATGTCTGCTAAAATCTCACATACATTGTTAGACATGTCACAGCTGTGTCATCTCTACATCGAAGCCCCCACTATTCCCACATCCCCCTGCACACCTGGAGCAGCTGCTGTATCAGGTGTATACTGTAGCTGGGGCATCTGGACATCCTCTGTGCTGCTCTCTAAAGCTGCACACATCAGCACCGGTCCTTATGGTGCAGATGGTGAAGCTGTGATGAGGTCAGGAGAATGGCTTTTACTACAAACAGGTCTGCAGTGATCAACATGCCCAGGTCAAAATCACTCTCCAAACAGTAATTAATTAAAAGCGAGGTGAAAATGATTTAATGTTAAATAAAGGTGCATATTTTGTTATGTCAAGTGGCATAATTGTTCATAAAATGGAGTGAGATTTCAGTCAAACATTAGTTATAAGACTGGCTCTGTATTGATAAAGTACGTTTTTAACCATGGCTAAGGAGCTAGCTATAGACCTCTGACCACTTTTTACACCAAATGTGGCAGAAGACCTTCCAGAAGAAATACTTGAGGGACCATTTCATCATCTAGCTCCCACCGCTGTGATGCCCCCAGCTACAGTATAAAGATGAAACTTTTGTCCAGATGACTTTTCCTCTTCTCAAACTGATCTGACACTGGATCTGCTGACCCTCCCTGACCAGTCCTCTTGTTAAAATGCACCTTTTATGCACCGCGAAGCACAGTATGTTTATGCAGATAAACTTGAATTTCCCACGGGATCAATAAAGTATCTCTCTCTCATATCTGATCCATCAAGAGAGATATCTGAGCCATTATTATCCCTGTCTAAATTAGTTTCATATGAAAAAGTGACCCAACAGCCTGTTCTTCAAAAGTTGTGGATCTGGATACCCTTGTTTCCTAGTTGTGTACAAACTTGCCACTTCAAAAACTCCCTGACTCAGCAGCAGTGCTAAATCCACAGCATCTGGATGCAGGCTGGCTCCAGACCTTCCCATAATCCTTTGCAACGTGTCCCACATGTTTTGGCAGGATTTTGGCCTCGGCTGCCCCTGTCCTGAACAGAGGAATAGCCCTGAATCAGAGGATTACAAGGTGCTGGTGAAGGCTGTCGTCAGCACACACACAGGCTCAAAGGGAGAGCAGTTACAAAGTTACAAAGAATGGGAAAAACGTTGAAAGCACATGCATAAAATATAACATAAACATGCATTCATACAAAGAGAATGCATATTGATTCTTATTTTAATATGATTTTACCATTTTACCAAATATTTAATTATCTGGTCTTTAGTTTCTTGTTTGAACTAATGCTTCTGTACTCATTGTTCAACAAATAGCAAGATTTTACTTAGATGGACACAAGAAGTCTCGATTTAAGCACAAAATATTACTACAAACTACTTCAAAAACGAATATGATACAACTACTGTACATGTATGTGTACTGCATGTGACTAAACTTCCTTGTCAAAACATGATTTCAGAAGATAATTACTTGAATGAGAGGCTGCTGGGAAAACCAGGGGCCACAGTGAAGCGTCAGTGGCAAAACTGTTGTTGTGTCCTTAGGCAAGGCACTTCACCCACATTGTTTACTAAGAAAATGATGTGTGTGAGTGTTGGTGGTGGTCAGACGGACAATGGCACACATGCAGCCTCATTCATGCACTATCCGACCTGCTATTTTGCTTTCACACTATTATAATTTCATCACATTTCTTAATGAGGTGCTAAAAATAACCAGATGAACTGCAGATCAGAGGTGAACTGGTAGATTCATAAAACATGAAAAACCTGACACAAATCAAAGTTATTATCAGGCAGTGTGGCACTAGATCTGTTATATGTGGTGCGTTCAGGGTGTCTGGGAAACTCGACCTCGCTCTCATTTCTATTCATGAGTCTAAGTCCTGCCTCTGCCGACTGCCAATAAACGTCTTTATAATCATTTTACAGAGCGACCCGTGAAACTCACTGTCTATGTTAGAAACAAACCCACTAGACACTCAACTATATAGTGCTGGTCAAAGTTTTTATAAGATCTATGAGCTACTTTGAACTGAAGTTTGCTAGTTTTAGAGAGTAGATTATTTTAAGTATGATAATTAAGTAGATAAAACCAAAAACTCAGCTAAATTTAAAGTGGAACTAAATTGTGTATTTTGTTTTCGTGCTGTGTAATGATTGAAACATGGTTATGGGCGGAATTTAGGTGTTGAGTCTCAAGGGAAAGTTGGGAAATCAAACAGTGAAACAGTGATTTGTCAATAAAAAAATAACCAACATTCTATTGCTTTGCCTTTAAAGATGTTTAATGCCACACTGATGAACTTTTCAGGCAAGACAATAGCATCCATAGAGACAAGCAAGCAATGGACCCCCTTATCAGAAGTTACACAGAGTAGCTTTAAAATACCACACAAAATGACACTGATTTTGAAATGTGGATTTTGAAATTGTTTTAAAACTGAATGGGAAAACTACAGTCCTAACTACACTGCTTCCATGACTAATAATAAAGATAAAGAAGAAGGTAAAGTTATGTCCTACCTGTACACTTCTTGGGGCTGCCTGGTCTCTTCCCGTGCATTCCGAGTTTACAAACAAAGTTCTCCTCCCAGAACTCAGCAAACCACACATTTCTGCGATTATTGGACAGTGATCGACTCTTGAAGTAACGATCAAAAGCTGCAAGAAAAAAGAAAATGGAAAGCATTAAAGGGCTCATATTACACACACTTTCTGATCTATGTTATAATGTTTCGTCATCAGAAACATGCAGGGTTTTTTTTCACATGTTTCACACATAAACCCTGTTCCACCTTGTGATGCCATGTGGAAGTGCTCCACTGTGTTTTTGAACTCCATACACCTTCAGCTCTGTAATTGCACTAGTGAACAAGTGATCTTTAATGATCTCTACTGAACAAAAGGCAAAAGTTGGAACTTGAAAACTACCACTTGACATCACAAGGTGGAACAGAGCATTTTGAGTTATGGGAATGTAGACAGACTAATAATTAAGGATTATTCAAGCATGAAAATATTGAAATGTGAATGACCAAAACACAACTCCAGGTATGTTTTTGATATGGTAACAAGGTAATAAGGTTTAAGTTTTTATATTTATGTATTTTTAATAAAGTTTTTTAATTGAAGTAAACCTTAAAAACATGAATACAGGCTATTTTTGTGAGTTGATGTTGTACTGACCATCTACAGATGCTCTCTTGGGCAGGATGGTGATAGCGCCCTCTGCCACTCGCTCCTGGTGTAGCACAGGGGAGATCTTTGAGCCCCAGCTGTCTGAGCCCACCCACAGGAAGTGACCCGTCAAGTTGTTCCGTTTAGCTGCGTCCAAGATCCTCCTGCACAGGTGAGAACAGGGGACAAGGAGAATAGAACTAGGTAAGAGAAAATTTAAGTGAGACAGTTAAAAAGAGGTATTAATAGTCTTGTATCCAAAATATGTCGGAATCTATTAAATGCGTACCACAAGTACTTTCATGGCAAATGTAAAAATGAATTGAAAACTTTCTTACAATTACTTATCGTTTGTGTGAAGTGAAGGTGCAGTGTGTAACTTTCCTGATGGAAGGTCCACCAAATACTTGTTTCAATGGTGATATTTTTTATTTTGCCTGGAATTTTCTACAGCACAGCATTAAACATGTCCATTTTCAGCGAAGCGAAGCAAGCGAGAGACATTACAAAGCCAAGTTACAGGTCAGATCTGTGGAGAGGCGAGTACGCTGACAATGAGAATGTATGTTTTTGAGTAATATAAAAGCAGTAATTCACTTAATGTAAGATGAATACTGTGGAATATTCCAGGCAAAGCAGTAACATTTCCATGGCGACAATTGGGTGACAAACCCTCTACCTGAAAAGTTGCATAGTAAAGGTGCACTGTGTAACTTTCCCAATGGAGCAACTGCCACCTGCTTGTCTCCAGAGAGATGTTATTGCTTTACTTGGAATACTCTACAATATTCCATTAACATGTCCTGCAATTACAGTTGTTTTTATTGAAGAATGCATTCTAATAACTTTAATCTCATACTGTGCAACATTCCAGGAAAAGCAAGTAACAACAAGCAAGATGTTTAAACGTTATACAGTGTATATTTTAAAAAATAGAATGCACACTATATAATAAGTGTAAAATGTGTATACCGGATGTCATCCTCATTGGCGAACATGATGACAGCTCTGGCGTTGGGTGTCTCCAGCAAACGCAGCACGATTTTGTCAAACTCTCCGGTCCTGGGCTCACGGGGGATCTTTAGGGACTGAGCGATGCACACTCCACCTGCAAAACACATACACACAGGAAACATTAAAGCTGCATTACCTACTTTCTTTAAATTAGTCAATTTTGTGTTTTCCCCCAAAGAATATATTATAAAAGCAGCACCTCGTGACAGAATGAGCTTTCTGCATCTAATAATAAAGTATTTTATAAACCTAGAAGTAACAGCATCTAAAAAAAAGTTATTCTGTGAGTGCAACTGAAAATGATGCATGTGAATAATTACAATATAGGCCTGAGGGTCTGTGAGAGATATAGGGGCTAGTTTCTAAATACTCCCTCTTTACACACATGGAAATCTAGCACTCCTACTTTAACACATTCATTTATTTGCTTATTCAGCTGCTGTATTATCAGCTGACTCGAGAAGTTAAAGTGGAACTCCACCCAATACCACATTTCAAATAGAGCTGCTAAACTGGCCAGTACCTAGTGGACTAAAGGGGAGAGTGGAGGACTAAAGGAGAGAATGTGATTGGTCTAACAGGTATCCACACTTCCAGCTCCGTGCCAATTTATTTTGTAGGGCTTCCATAGCTATAGCTGGAGTACTTGATTCTGAAAGGAGGAAATCTGTCATTAAAGCCTGACTCATACTCAGCTTTCATAAATCTTTGGCAAATTGCTAATACTCATATGCATAGATTTTCAGGTATGTGCACAAAACAGATTTTTCACCGGCCTCACAGAGCCAAGCCACTCTCATCCTAAAATAAAATAGTGGCATATTAAACTCTTTACTACAGGGTCAATAAAATGTTTTGTAGATATACAAGCAGCATTCAGCAGTCTAATTTGGTCATTTACATTTTCTTTACAAGAAAAGCATTGGGTAACTTGGGAAACAGCCTTTAACATACACCAACAGTTTTTATCACCAAGACAACACCATGAGGATATTCTACTTTGTGGTGTTTGTTTTGCCCTACCACAGATATATTTTAAAAGCAGCTGCTGCGGTGTCTGCATCTACTTATAAATAATTTAAATGTCCAAGAATCAGGAAGTGCACTGTTAGCATGCTAGTTGTTTTCAGCTTTACTGTGATACTTATTAACTCATTGTGGTAAATAATTAGGATGCTTGCAACTCAGACTGAGCTCACATACTCAGTAGTTTTTGAAACTTTGTTTTTTGAGCTCCACTTCTGCCATCATACAAAAGTATGGGATTTTAAACAACTAAGAAGTGTAGCATGTGCATTTCAGGACACAAATAAGGGACTATTGGAAAATCTGAAATTAACTTGTTTGTTTTTTCCATAACCATGGAGTGCAAGAGGCCTTTTAAGGACCTTTGAGATGCTACAGGATTACATCAAAGGTGGAAGCAAATGTGGCAGAAGACCTTCCAGAGGAAATACTTGGAGGGAATGGACCATTTCATCAGCAACCACAACAACAGAGTGGAAAGTAAGGTTTTGAAGAGGCTTTCTGTTGTGCTCAGCTGGTCCCCCCTGGACACTGCTGTGATGCTGCAGGATGCAGAGGAGGGACATTTTTGGCTCTTCCTGTCTTCAGACTGCCCTGAAACAGATCTGCTGACCAGTCCTCCTGTTAAACTGCACTGAGTCCTTTGACTGAGACACAAAAGCCTCTGAGAAGCACAGCATGTTATTAGAATTTCCCTTGGGATCAATAAAGTATCTACCTATCTATTTAAATGAAAAGGTGTGTCCAAACTTTTGACAGGTAGTATAATCATTTGACTAGTGGAGTCATTGCAAAAGTATCTGCTGTTGTCCAACTATCTAAAAACAAATATAAGTTCCAACCCTAAACATTTGCTGTGGCCGTTAAAAGTTTCACAAACAATTCCAAAAGTCAGATACTGTTAGCAAAGCCCTTTTTTCTTCTGGAGTCACGACATGTGAGCTCATTACAGTTGTCACTTCAACACTGTACCCTTTAAATGTGTGTTTTATTTAGCACCGCCTGACACTGCGATGTGGCACTTGAGTTGAACTTCTGCATCTGAACTGAGCCAAGGCGACAAACTACAGTAGACTCACACTTAATTAGGACCCAAGGAGATTTTGGAGACTTTTTATATTTTATTTTTATTTTTTTTGTCCGCGAACTGAATCTGCACGTCCCGCCATGGTACTGTTGTCCTCGAGGGAACAGAGGCACAGCAGAAAATATTCACTTCTCCCCACCATGACCTCGATTGTCAACCCACAAGGAGGCGACGGGCAACCCAGGCAAAAATGTTTCTTCAGAATAGCATTAATAAATATAAGGCTCTGGTCTGACAGCCATAAATAGAGCATGGGCTTCTGCAGAATGGAGTAAAATGCGTTCAAAGTTGATCTGAGTTAACTGGGTGCATGAACCGTTCAATTGTGTTTTGTATTGTCCTGAATTATGTTGGCTCATCATAATAAACATGATTTTTTTTGTAAACAAACTTATCATGCAAATAGTTTGTTCATATATTTCTTTTTAAAGTCTGGTTTTATTTAAAGGTGCTGTACATGATTTTTACTGTCTTAAAAACATGAGAAAACAGAACTAGTCCATTTTAAACTTTTTGCAGTTTATGCATTCAGACCATTCTAATTATTCACACCATAAGTCTATAAGAGCTTTTCTCAGAGACTGTCTGGATGCCCTCCTGCAGCAGAGCCCATTTCCTTTATCAGCCTAGCACTGCTCTATAGTTTGGTTTGATCGTATCTGTACAAAAGCCGCTTATTCATATGAAACTATTTACAGCGATCTCTTAAAGTGTGTTTTCTTAGCCTGTCTGTGATTCAGTAAGAAAAAAAAAAAATTGTGACCAAATTATTCCCATTGTGCCACTTTGTTTAATTTATAAAGTTAGTCGCCAGTAGGTAGACTATCATCAGAACTGTAGAAAATTGTCCACGAAGCCGTGGAGCAGCCGGTGACAGGGATCAGTGTGCACATTCACTGACAACTCAGGACTGTGGCAGAGGAGCGGACACACGTTTCATGTGTGCTGCTATCTTGGCAGCAACAATCAGTAGAGCTTCAAGAGACATAGTGCACATGAGCACTGTACAGACACCTGCGCATCTTGCTCTGTGCGCTCAGGGAACATATCAGTCACTTGTGTTGGTCAAATGCATTTTGTGCAGTCATCCTCTCCATGTGTTCATGGTTTCATCCATGTCTGCGTGCAAAACTGTAAAATTAACACATGACAATAAACATATTCTATAATCCACCGGACATCCACCTGTGTGGGACCAAATGCAGTGGACATCTGTGAGATGAGAATGTGAGTGGTCAGCAGTAGCAGCTGTGAAAACTTGTACCTCAGGTGGGAGACGCAGTAGCAGACTGCCTTGACAGGCGGGAGCGGGTGCGACCAGGGGGAGAGCAACACTCAGCCCATGAGAGAGACACTGGTCTGCTGCATAATTGGAATGAACTAGGGAACATAGATAAACTAAAAAGGATCAGGTGTGTGCGCATGCACAGGCTTATAGGGCCTGTATGCCCGCCGCTTCTACTGGTGCACACTTGCATCGTGGGGCTCCGGAGCAGTTTAATTTTATCCATATATAACTCTTCCCCACATCCCTCTTTGGTGCCTGGTAATGAGGCAAAGATTGCAGACTTTACACACACTGGCAGTGCTTTCAAATGCCACAGCGGTCACAGATTGGTTAGAGACACAGAGATGTCATCACCATATATGTACTTGTACCGTCGCACTGCAGCCTCCAGCAGCGAAGTACAGCCCAACCTGGACACATCCCCTCCTTAACGCTAACATCAGCGCTAAGATCGGGGGCAAAATAGAGCTCATTATCTTCTTTTACTATACAAAAAAGCATTTGAACTATATTCCTTTTTAGCTCCCCCATGTAAATTGTAAATAATATTGTCCTATAGAATGTTGTGATGTCATCTGAAACCCAGAAATGCTCTTTCTTCAGTGGTGCCATCATTCTTTATTAATCAATTCCTCTGTGGTGCTTGGTTTGTGGACAGACTCCTATGTTTTAAAAGCACTATGTTTACTAAAGGGACAGTGGGACCACACATAAACCAACCCTGAAGACTGTGTAGCATCTGTCAGCTTGAATACTGTCTCATGTTTACTTCGTCACATCAAATCTTCAACACACAATTTATTTAAAATTAACTTCTTGTTTTTTTTCCCTCTTTTCCCCGGGGTCATAACTTCTCTGATTCATCTTGTGTCTTTAGTGCTGCCCCCTGCTGTTGTAAACCAGACACACAGCTTTAAATATGAACATTTCTGGAGTCAGAAAATGATTTGCATGTAAATGAGAGGGCCTTTAGAGCAGATGATCCGTGAGTGCGTCATTTCTGTAGACTGGATAGAGGAGAGTGCACTATCATCACAAGTGGATTAGACAAGAAGCCGAGCGTATAGAAAGCACAGGTACAACGCAACAGAGGAGCTAGACAGGTCAAATACTAATATACATAATACTGCACATACTTAGCTAGAGGAGGGTACATGAAGTGAATACACAGCCAACTTCTGACTGGTATTGTTTGACCTCAAAGGCTTTCTATTAAATTGAATCAGAATAAGAATAAGTTTGACATTGTCAGTGCAGGAATTTTATGAAATACTAACTTGCTTTCTTGTGTAAACTCTCTCCTCAGATTAACAGTTTGGTGCTTTGCTCACTGATTCTGCAAAAATTTGTAATGTTTTACAGACTCTTATGATTTTTTTTTTTTTTTACTTTCTTTTTTCCTTGTAAGCAGCCATATTTGTTTTGATATGGCCAAACCATGCATGTTGCTGATTGACTGATCACCTCTCAATCACGTTCATCTGAACTTAGGAAGTATGAATGATCCCAGTAAATAAAATATAAACTATGATAAAACAAAAATAAGGGCATGCATTAAAAATAAGGTAAATAAAAAGATACTTTGGCTCAATATACAGAATAAATACAAAATATGCAGTAGTGGGCAGGACACCAGTGCAAAACTATCAGTGCAGGAAGGTTAATTACAGCTGAAGTAAATTGTGAGTGTTTA